AATTGCTCTTCATTCTATGGGAAAATTCTGATTTCCAGCAACCCCTAAACTGCCACGGATAACTGTTTTTTTGGCTTGCCGCTCACGAAGAAACAATCTTTTGCGCATTAATTTATTTTCGCCAGCTAAACACATATAAAATAAATGTTGTCAATACTCGCACGACCGAGTGAGAGACCTCTGAGCTTTGACTTCCCACGCCGGTCTACGATTAACCACCACCCAGGGCGGATAGAGCAAGTCCCGTATTGGAATCGTAGTCGAGGGTGGGTCCCGAAGATCGGCGTCAACACCATCAGCATAATACACACGTCACAACTTCCAATTAGAGACAATCATTCGGATACAGGACAGGCGGGGGGAGGGGGACTTTGATGGGGTGGTTTTACTGTCCTCGGCAGTGCAGAGGCTACAAAAACGAAAGAGCGCTACGAAGTGGGTTTCATTCCTTGGATTACGTTCAGGCCACAAACACACAGGAGCAGATATTACCAGCAGGACCTGCCACAGGGTGGATGGATGTTCGTGGAGTGTGCTTTGGTGTAGTTTTCATTGTGTGAATGGATGTCATAAATAGTCAAATGATTTCGTTTTTATTGCGGTGCGAGTCAATTAAGTGGAATAGTTTTGCCATGTATTTTCCTGAATGGATTTTCGTGTTAAAGGTGACGGAAATATCCATAAAAGCTGGCCACTTGTTGGGATTATTTAATTTATGCACATGTGCAGCTGAAAAGGATTCCTTCCATGTGCGCCGTAATGGTCCATTGATTTGAGGATGGGAAATCGGCGATTATGTAGATCATTTCACTTGTGTGGGGTTGATTAATCGAACCAAAATATGCGTCCAAATAAATCAACTCAATTTCAATTAAATAAATGAACTTGAAATATGTGTGTTCCCTTTTTCCATCGTTCTTCCACCCCCCCCCCCCCCCCCCCCCCTCTTNCTTTCTTTCTTTTCCCATGCTTTTAAAAATAGCCCAGCGATCCGTTAGCGCACCAGTTCCAGCGCTTATTAAGAAAAGGTGAGTTTTAGTTTACGAGTACCTCCAAAAATTGCTTGCATATTTTCATGGCTTTGCAATTGCATCTGTTACCGCAAATGAACATTTTTTTTTGAGTCCAGAAAAATTGTTTAACAACCTATTTTGTGCAGGTTGAATGGTCACACTTTTACTTCAACGAAGTATGTATTTGCCAAAGGAATTTTTAAATGAGAGTGGCCTCACCTTGCACAACACACACCTTGTACCAGATCTGACAAGAAGCAAGAGCGCGAATTTCGTTTATTATTTTGTTAGTGAACGCATTTGATTTGTTCTAAATTTCTATTTTGTGGACTTGAAACAAAATCAATAAACGAATTGTTTCAGTTTTGCCGGGAACTCGTTTATGACACAGCCATGCGGCTACTGCACGCGTTCCGCACGTTTATGTGATGTAACCCGAGAGTGAGAGTTCCGTAAAATGTGATCGGGAGAAATGTTGACCAGGACGCTCTTGAACCGCTGCTGCAACGGACGCGGATGCTGCATCAGAATGGCCGCTCCACTCGTAAGGCGTAAGTGGGATGGGATCCACACAGTCACTACAAAAGGGGAATCAACTCTCACATTTTATTTAATTCGGAACTTAAGCAATCTACAATATTAATTGATCCATTAGTGCCACGGCACCTGGTTGCCAATGGTGCCCTTCTTGTAGAACTTGGCCGTGGCCGAGGCGGTGGCAGCCAGCGTAGGTGTTGGCGGAGCCGGTTCGTATGTGGGTCCACTGCCCTCTGCTTTCAGGACTGCGGCACACCTCCACTGCTTGTTGTAGTTCATGCGCCAGAGGCGCACACAGCCGTCGTCACCGGTAGATATCAGCATGGTGGCCAACATGTTCCAGCAAACGCGCCACACGGGGCAGTTGTGGTCGCTAAACTTTACCGTCTGGATGTCCAGCTTGGTGGTGCCCGTGGAATCCCTAAAATGCATATACTTTAGGACAGTTCTAGCAGTAAAATCTCGATCGTTCTTACGTCACTCCGCGAAGATTCACTATGTAAAGATCCTTGCTGGCCACGGCCAGCATGTGGAAAGTACGCCCGGCGTTCGGGGCAAAGGCCACATCCGTGACGGGATCCGTGATGTCGTTTACAGTATCAATCTTCACACATTTACGAGCATTGTCGCTGTAGGCAAAGAGGAACACCTTTCCCGTGGGCGTGGCTGAGTCGTCGCTGCCAGCCTGTAAGAGAAAGGACGTATAGGGCTAAGAAATCTTTTTGATGGATTATTTACTTACCGCCAGCAGTTGTGTGACCATGTAGGTGGATGTGTTCCAGGACAAACAGCTCAGCGGCAGCTTGTTGGCTATCTCATGCTGCACCGGCCACTGGGAGAGGTTCATGATGTCTGGCGCTTCGTAAATGCGTATGATGCCATCCGCGGAGGCGGTGGCCAAAAGCAAACCCAAGTATTTTGGGGCAAACTCCACATCCGTGACGCTGGTACGCGAATCGACGAGCGTGGTGCGGCGCACCCATCGCCGAGTCGGCGTGTTCGTGGTGGAGACCTTCTCGCCAATCACCTCTTCCCAAACGGAGGCCGTGCGGTCGAAGGAGCAGGTCGCCACCACCTGGCCGAACTCCGGATGAGCCCACGAAACGCGCCAGATCGAACCCGAGTGTGCCTTCCAGCTGCTCGTCACACTCCACTTGCCCTGCGCATCCTCGTCCCAGATCTGCAAATGTAGATTTTTTGTATCGTAGAGGCGAATGTTTACACCACCGGCGGATAACTAACCTTCACTGTCTGGTCGCTGGAGCAGGTGGCCATGCGGCGGCCGTAGTAGTCGAACACCACGTCGTGTATGACATCCTTGTGGTCGGCAATAATGGGCTCCACATCGAACATCTTCTTTTCATGCGATTTGTTTCTAAAATATGCAACAAAACAAAAATTCACGCGCGGTTTATGGCAGATAAATGCAACCCTGTGAGGGTAAACTTGCGGCAGTCAGCTGTTTTTGGTATATGCAGTATTTTTCGTCTGTTCTGTTTATATTCTTCTGGGGCGGGAAAACGGTCACATTGGCGCTGTAGTCTGAATTACGCGTGAAATACGAAAAAATCAAGCGGAAAAAGTAAAAGAACAGACAAAGCAGGCAAGCTGCCCCATTGATCATACCCGGGCCACTAATCAACGGTGCCACACGATCATTGCCAGTGCCGTGAAAGTGCTAGAACACTCCCCTCGGAATCAAAAATCTCAGTGCAACACAGAGCCAGGCCAGAGCTTCCCACCCGGAAAAGAACAGTTACACTAAACAAAATTGCTAACAGAAAGAAACGTGGAAAGCAGCGCAATACGATGGAGAAAAGTAAGTCGTTGGAGAGTGCGGTAATCTGGTCGGTAAACGTGTAATTACGATCTGATTAGTGGCAGCGGCAGAGATAATATGCGCATATGCAAATAACAACAGTGGCCGCACCTGGGGGTTATTCACCCTTTGGGGAGAGGCATTATTATGTATGGTCTGGGAACTGTCGGGACCTAGCATATATCAAGATATCCGTTTGTTTATCATTTGCATTCATTTGATAAAGTCCACATTTTGTGTTTTGTTCCATCAATCAAAGTACAGGACAGCATATTTTACTTCCAATATGTTGTGGTTTTGCTCTCGCCACTCTCTTTCGCTCTCACCACTGTTACTGACCTTGATTCCCATTGGACTGTGAACATCGCGCGATGGACTTGTCTCTATGTGTGTATGTAGGTGAGCGAGAGAGAGAGAGAGATGTATGCGTGTATGTGTGATGCTGAGTGTGGGCGGATGGGAAGCCAGTTATGCAGCCTCATTCCAGTCCCAGTACAAGCCGGCTTCCATTACCTAATCGGAGTGCATCCATATGTAAGACAGAGCGAGAGGCCTGGCACCAGCCAGCTGATATGCGTCCCCCTTCTCCTCGGTCTATTATTGGCCGTGGTATCAGCAGACCTACTGGCCACGCGCCAAGCATGAATAATGCGACCGACTTTTTGGTAGATCCCAATACAATAGTAAATTTCCACCAGCCTCTGATAAGCGTTGGCGGCCCACCACTTGATCGCATGGGATGGCGGAAGAGCGGGGAACATAACCATCAGCACCAATTATGATTAATAATTCGTCGGAACATACCGGTCGGCTGTTTTCAACGCCAAAATCGAAAGATTCTCCATGGCGCTTATCGCGGAGATTATAGGGAGCAAGCGTCGTCGACGGGAATTTCTTTTATGACTTTAAAAAAACCTCTGCTGATGTCCAAACAATCACGAATCCCAGAGATTCGCGTGTTCTGCTCGTGGCAGCGTGCTGAATTCGTTATTAATTCCGATTTCAAGTGCATCTCAGGGCAATTCAATCGAGATAATCAATTTTGTATTACCTCGCTAATTCAACTCGAATGCGTAATCAGAATCTGGCTACTTACGGTTGCAAATTGATAGATTATTTTTGCTAATGTTCCATCCGTAAAGTGCACTGTCGTCACTAGGAAAGGGTCAGCTTAAGGTTTGCACAACGGCAACAACAACAGAAGCCTTGACTTTGAAATCTCTCACAGTGGGAAGGGTAGGAGAGAAACTTCGAAGAAACGGTAAAACACAGCTGATCGCTATCGACTCTTATCGACTGGAAATAAACATGGACAAATGGTTGGCAACTAGCAAAAACAAACTGTAAATAAAACACGGTGCTCTGCTGCTCATTTACCTTTTCTTTTTGTCCAGCCAGCAGCAGCAGCAGCAGCTGAAACAGCTCGACCTCTGAGGCCCTCTGTCGCGATTAACATACAGGCGCAACAACCTGTACACGCACACATCAGCAGCACACCCGTCCCGTGCCGTCCATGCACGCACCAGTATAGTTGATATCAATAGTGACAGCGACGCCAGCAGCACTGACCGCTGGACAGCGGCAGTAGCCCTCGCGATAGTGGGTTCCAGACGAGGAGCCTGGCCCCATAGCGCCACAGTTTGATTTTAAGCGTCGGTCACTGCAGTACCACTCGTGCGGAACTTGTGCCCGTCTAAAGCTACGAGTGCAGTAGTCTACAGAAATACGTTAAAGAAATACAGAAACATAAAAGCAGAGTGGTAAAACTCCCATTAACTCGAATTTAAATACACATAGAAAATATATAAAAGCGAGTCAAGGCCCTAAAAAGTGTCCAAAAGTGTGGCCCTAAATATAATTGCCCATGGCATTGAATTTGTTGAATCTGATGTGTGTGTGTGCTTACTGCGATTGAGTAATCTTTTTGAAAGAGATTCCGAGACCTGCTCGACTGGTTCAGAATTCTTATCGGATGGACGGGAAGAAAAACATACGACTCACTTCATGCTAATACGAAATGCTTATAGAACTGGGCCACAATTTCACATATCAAATATCCCAATGCGCATCAGCTAACATTTGAGATCGATCTGGGATTGTATTTCGAATCCTTCCCAGGGAATGCTCTGTCAAAAAGCTGAAAAAATGATCCGCAGATTAATGTTACATAATTACCTGATAAGCCTGTGCTACTTAGTGATGGATCGATTCACCTTTTTGTGCCTTTCAAAGCCCCGGCTCTGGGTGGCTGGCACACTTACATATGTATATGTTGTAATGGCAAAATCATTGACCTCTTCTATAAGCAAAACCAATTTGCATTTCCACATACCATACTACTAGTCGCTGTGCTGGGGATTTTTTGTGTTTCAGCTTTTGTTATTTCTCATTTTCCTTCTTCCATATTTTGGATTTTCGGTTTTGTTTTAAATATAAATACGAAGCTCCCGTACATTAAACACCCCAATAGCAAAATTATAAGTTTGTGTATTTTGTAGCTTTAATTACGCTTTCGTAGGGTATTAATTGTGAGATACTTATATGTGTACGTCATTAGCGCAGGAATCTTAGGCCTTTGACCCATGGACTTTGGCATTGCTTATTTTCGAAAATCACAATTACATAATTCAATGCCCCTGAGTCTTAATCTTCACAGAAACAACATTCTTGTAGAGCACCAGTTATCTTGTCTATATTTCCGACTGCTCCCAACTGTCAGCAAACATTCACTGTTCAAAGGATTTTGTTTTGTTAAAGAGTATTCCGATTTCGGATACTCTTTGGCCTGGAAACGATATTCGATTCGGGTATTTGGGTCTTTATATTGTGGATTTTCGGTTTCATAATTTTATCTGCTAACTAGTTTGTGCTTAGATTAGCATTTCTGTTTGGGTTTGTTTTGTTTTGCTTTTTCGTTGCTTCTTTGGCCCACAAAATCGTGGCAAAGTTTTTGAACTTGAAAAATACTCATTTGAGACGAGAGACCTACATATATTAACATTGATGTAGATTTTTGGCACTTTCACTGTCCCATAAGAGGCATACATAATATGTAAAATATTGCGTAGTGGGGCAGGAAGCAAAAGATATGCATTATCTAATCCAATTTAAATTCACCGATTTAAAGCAGCTTTTTGGAAATAGCCGATGTTGATCACACTATTAGGCACTCTGGCAGCATTTCTCGCGTTCATCTTAACCCTGATCTTTGGCCGGGGCCAGAAAAGACCAGTCCACGCGGCCACCACCAAAGGCGAAAGAGAAACAGAAACTACAACACCGATTAATCGTAAGAATCTGAACACTTTTTGAATCCATAAGCAGCACTTGAAGGGCCACAGTCACACCAAGCACATTTAACTGATAATCAAATCAATCTACTATAATAATCTGTATAGTAATCAATATTTCTATGATTGATTTCCAGCCAACTCCAGCGTGATTGCCGCTACAGCACCACCAGTCGCAGTCACAGTTACAGTCACAGCCACAAGCAGTTTGTCGTCGTCCACAAAGGGAGGAGCAGGAGACGCAACAAAGCTGAACGAGAAGCGATTCCCAAAAGGGGCCAGTATCAAGAAGGTACAGTTCTCCAGCGAAAGCCTTAAATCGGAGGTGGATATTGCCTTGTCCGATCTGAGCTGTCACCAGAACCACAACCACAACAACAACACAACCGTTATCAAAAACAAAAACAACAACAGCATTGTCGACATCAGCAAGAAAACATCAGACAAGATGAGTGAGGAAACAAATGCAGCTTCCGGCACGGATGCTGAGCGTCCAAGCTTCTTGGTAGGTCTTTGACACCGGAGCAACCACTTTGTCTAGCATATAATCTGAATTTAAATCATTTTTCTGGCTCTGTCAGGTGGGCGATGAGATTGACGAGAAGGCAGCAGAAGCTGGAGAAGCTGTGGACGAGTTCCCTCAGAAGATGCAGAACGATGCCCGGCCGAATGGCGATATATCGGAGAAACGCAAGAGATTGAGGTATGCACGCCGGCAAGAGGGGCACGCCCCACCCTCCACATGGCACACGTAGAGGGGAGGATGGGTATGGGAATGGGGTGACTGAGCAAAACAAAGAACAGGTGGACTGCGTCATAGATATCGCGCGAGTTTATCAAAAAGAGATGGAGCAAAGCGCTTCCGCTGAGTGCGAATGAGAAGCAGCGAAGCTTTTTCGAGTACTCTGAGAGAGGGCGAGACCAAAGCATTCTGGGTGAGAGAGCGACAGTGAGAGAGAGCAGCCTTTGGGGACGCCGTCACAATTTGTTTTCATTCATAACGGAAAGCGTTGCCTCAAAACTTGTTTCTTTTTTGTGACTCGGAATCGGTACTCTCTCTCTCTCTCCACTCCAGGCGACCCCTGAGCAAACTGTGGCCTAAACTATCTGTTGGACGGCTATCTGTGTTGGGCCGCTCGAAACCGAACCGCCAGCAGTTGCACAGCAGTCGTCGGTTCCGTCGGTCATAGAAGCAGAAACCAGCAGCAGCAGCACCAAAGTCGAACCTTAGCAGTCGCCGAATTTCTCGTTGCCTAAATAGGTTTCTCGCGTGTGTGGAGTGTGGATATTCCGTTCGACATTGATTTTCTGCCGTGTGGCCCTGCGACTCGTCATCGTGATATCGTCGGAGTGCGGAGAAAGTGTTGCTGGTAGCAGAACTGGTGTGTGTGGTGTGGCATAAACAGTGTTTTGTTTTCTCCGTTTTCGGTTATTAGTCAGACTTGCATAATTCGCTTAAGGGGGTGTGCTATTTTACACCCAGCCAGTTCACTGTGACCACTGAATGCTATTGGCCCTCGTTGAGCTAGCCAGCATGTTGAAGCGTCGTGCCAGTAAGCGTTTTGTACTCGTTGAGTCTGGCGAGGAGCCGCTGGGATCAGGATCGGTCGCACCAGTCATTCCACACTTTGTGGCCGTAGACTGTGGACAGGGCGACAGCAACCACAATGAGATGAATCCGAGCTCCAGCATCAGTAGCATCGGCAGCGAGAACAGCAACAACAACACCGGAAACCCAACGCCAGGACTCCTTAGTGTGCCCACCGTGGGAACCCTAAAGTAAATACACATAATATGGGAGGGATAAGAATAAATTTGTTGCTAGAATTTCGATTCTATTTGTCAGGTAGTGGCCCCAGAACCGGTTTCGCCAAATCTTCTTTAAAATTGCGCTCTAACCTTCCGATCTACACTGAGCAACAAAATGATTGGTTTAAAGATAATAATTGCTTATCGGTTTTTTAATCTCTTTCAGACCGAGCATGTCCCGAGGCACTGGCTTGGGCCAGGATCGCCATCAGGATCGGGACTTTCTTATAGCCACCACCGAGGAGTTTGTGAAGCGTTTCGGCGGTACACGTGTCATAAATCGCGTCCTCATTGCCAACAATGGCATTGCGGCTGTCAAGTGTATGCGTTCCATTCGCCGATGGGCCTACGAGATGTTCAAGAACGAGCGAGCCATTAAATTTGTGGTGATGGTCACGCCAGAGGACCTGAAGGCGAATGCCGAGTACATCAAGATGGCCGATCACTATGTCCCCGTGCCCGGTGGCTCCAACAACAACAACTATGCGAATGTTGAGCTCATTGTGGACATTGCACTTCGCACTCAAGTGCAGGTGAGTAGTTGCGTCTGGAGGCCGCCAGTGCCCAGCCATAGATGTAGCCGGCCCAGTGTCAATCCGTTTGGGTTGGTTGCGCCTTAACCACATCGCATCGTACGATTCGTATTTACACTTTGTCGATCTCCGGGGGCTGAAAAAGTCAAGTCGATCGTATGTCGTATGTCGTATATCGCATACCAATGCAAAAGCTCTCACACTGCTCTGCAACGCTCTACCAAACAGTTTGTTTATATCCGTTAAAGCTAAAGATTATCTATGTGTGTGTGAGTGTGTGGATTGTAACACTGTGCAACAAAAAGTGTGTTGTAACCTTCAACCTTCTAGAATCTCTCCTGCTTATGTGTACCTTTAGAATTCCCTCATATAAGTAAGCGTACGTTCAGTGTTATTTGTTGATCACGTAAACGTTTATTTGCTGTAGATCTTCCATTCCCGAATGCTAAGTAATTTCACTGAAAATAGCAAGAGATCACTTCTCAAATATGTGTAGGTAAAAGCATTTCTCTAACTGTTGCCGCACATTAACTTGTACTATGTTGTAGATCTGATCTTAATAGGGCACTTTTAGTTTATTATATAGAAATAAGTAGTATAGCACGAGTATATGCTACAAAGTTGATTAAGATATACAAAGTTGCTGTTTTTGAGTGCATATTACTTCCGTAGAGATTCGAATATTCTAGTGAATATCTAATAATGGTTTACAAGCCTTGCAAATTTCTGAGAAATTGTAGAAGTTGTAATTATTTACTTTAGATATTTAGAAAAGTCAAGAAGATGTCTAGCAATTCTTTTGAACACTTTTTTAGTAAAATGCGCGTGTGCGTCTCGAGTCCTGATAGCCTTCTTTCTAGCAAATTTCGCAGCGAATAAGCTTTCATAGTTTGTTTTCTTCACTTCTAATCTAAACCACCCATCAATTGGCAAACACTTGGGGAATGCGAAAGATAGCGATAATATTAAACATTCCTATGAGTGGAGAGTGTTTGCTTTTCATTCCACTAATTAGTATAAAAAGGGGATAAAACCAACACCTTGTTGCACAGTGTGAATTATCTATTTTTTTTGTTGTGCTATCATCCGTAAATGAGGTTATAAAGTTATTGATTATGAATGAAATTATGATTATAGGCCGTCTGGGCTGGATGGGGTCATGCCTCGGAGAACCCAAAGTTGCCGGAGCTGCTGCACAAGGAGGGTCTGGTGTTCCTCGGGCCGCCAGAACGTGCCATGTGGGCACTCGGCGACAAGGTGGCCTCCTCGATTGTGGCCCAAACGGCCGACATACCAACGCTGCCTTGGTCCGGTTCCGACCTAAAGGCACAGTACAGCGGCAAGAGGATCAAGATCACCACCGACCTCTTTGCCCGCGGCTGTGTGAACAATGTGGAGCAAGGTCTGGCGGCAGTCGCCAAGATTGGTAAGACCCATTGACAATCCTGAGACGGAACGCTCGTTATTCTTATCTGTGTCTCCGTCTTGCAGGTTTCCCCGTGATGATCAAGGCATCGGAAGGCGGCGGCGGCAAGGGCATTCGTCGCGTGGACACCACCGAAGAGTTCCCCGCCCTATTCCGTCAGGTGCAAGCGGAGGTGCCCGGATCGCCCATTTTTGTAATGAAGCTGGCACGCGGCGCCCGCCACTTGGAGGTGCAGCTGCTGGCGGATCAGTACGGAAATGCCATCAGTCTATTTGGACGCGATTGCTCCATACAGCGTCGCCATCAGAAGATCATCGAGGAGGCACCGGCCATTGTGGCCCAGCCGGAGGTGTTCGAGGACATGGAAAAGGCGGCCGTGCGTCTGGCCAAGATGGTGGGCTATGTGAGCGCCGGCACCGTGGAGTATCTGTACGATCCGGAGGGCAGGTACTTCTTCCTGGAACTGAACCCGCGTCTGCAGGTGGAGCATCCCTGCACGGAGATGGTGGCCGATGTCAATCTGCCAGCCTGCCAGCTCCAGATCGGTATGGGTATCCCCCTGTACCGCCTTAAGGACATTCGCTTGCTGTACGGCGAGTCGCCGTGGGGCTCCTCCATCATTGACTTTGAGAATCCGCCGAACAAGCCGATGCCCTCGGGACATGTGATCGCTGCTCGCATCACCTCCGAGAATCCCGACGAGGGCTTCAAGCCCAGCTCGGGCACAGTTCAGGAGCTGAACTTCCGCTCCAGCAAGAACGTGTGGGGCTACTTCAGCGTGGCCGCCTCCGGTGGATTGCACGAGTTTGCTGACTCGCAATTCGGTCACTGCTTCTCCTGGGGCGAGAACCGGCAGCAGGCACGCGAGAATCTCGTGATTGCCCTCAAGGAGCTGTCGATCCGTGGCGATTTCCGCACCACTGTCGAGTACCTGATCACGCTGCTCGAGACGAATCGCTTCCTGGAGAACACCATCGACACGGCCTGGCTGGATGCGCTCATAGCCGAACGCGTGCAGTCCGAGAAGCCGGACATACTGCTGGGCGTCATGTGCGGAGCTCTGCACATTGCCGATCGCCAGATTACCGAATCCTTCTCCAGCTTCCAAACATCTCTGGAGAGGGGACAGATCCAGGCGGCCAACACCCTAACGAATGTGATAGACGTGGAGCTGATCAACGGCGGCATCCGGTACAAGGTGCAGGCGGCCAAGAGCGGGGCCAACTCTTACTTCCTGCTGATGAACAGCTCCTTCAAGGAGATCGAGGTGCACCGCCTGTCCGATGGCGGTCTGCTAATCTCCCTCGAGGGCGCCTCGTACACCACCTACATGAAGGAGGAAGTGGACCGCTACCGCATCGTCATCGGCAATCAGACGTGCGTCTTTGAGAAGGAGAACGATCCCTCGCTGCTGCGCAGTCCCTCGGCGGGAAAGCTCATCAATCTGATTGTGGAGGATGGGGCTCATGTGGCCAAGGGCCAGGCCTTTGCCGAGATCGAGGTGATGAAGATGGTGATGACTCTCACCTCCCAGGAGGCCGGCACGGTGACCTTTGTGCGGCGTCCAGGCGCTGTCCTCGACCCCGGTTCCCTTCTGGGCCACCTGGAGCTCGATGATCCCTCGCTGGTGACCAAGGCGCAGCCCTGCAAGGGCCAGTTCCATCAGGCCGAGAACGCGCCCATTCCCGAGAAGCTGAACCGCGTTCACAACACGTACAAGAACATTTTGGAGAACACCTTGGCCGGCTACTGTCTGCCGGAGCCCTTTAATGCCCAGCGGTTGCGCGACATCATTGAAAAGTTCATGCAGAGCCTGAGGGATCCCTCGCTGCCGCTGCTGGAGCTCCAGGAAGTGATTGCCTCCATCTCGGGCCGCATTCCCATATCCGTGGAGAAGAAGATCCGAAAGCTGATGACGCTCTACGAGCGCAACATCACCAGCGTGCTGGCCCAGTTCCCCTCCCAGCAGATTGCCAGCGTCATCGACAGCCATGCGGCCACCCTGCAGAAGCGCGCCGATCGCGACGTCTTCTTCTTGACGACCCAGAGCATTGTGCAGCTGGTGCAGCGCTACCGCAACGGCATTCGCGGACGCATGAAGGCCGCAGTTCACGAGCTGTTACGTCAGTACTACGACGTGGAGTCGCAGTTCCAGCACGGACACTACGACAAGTGCGTGGGTTTGGTGCGGGAGCACAACAAGGACGACATGCTGACGGTGGTAAACACGATATTCTCGCACTCGCAAGTGGCCAAAAAGAACCTGCTCGTCACCCTGCTCATCGACCATCTGTGGGCCAATGAGCCGGGCCTAACCGACGAGCTGGCTAACACCCTCAGCGAGCTGACGTCCCTGAACAGGGCCGAGCACTCTCGGGTGGCTCTGCGCTCACGCCAGGTGCTGATTGCCGCCCACCAGCCGGCCTACGAGCTGCGCCACAACCAAATGGAGTCGATCTTCCTGTCCGCCGTGGATATGTACGGCCACGACTTCCATCCGGAGAATCTGCAGCGCCTCATCCTCTCGGAGACCTCGATCTTTGACATTCTCCACGATTTCTTCTACCACACTAACCGAGCCGTGTGCAATGCCGCCCTCGAGGTGTACGTGAGGCGCGCTTACACTTCCTATGAGCTGACCTGCCTTCAGCACTTGGAGCTGTCCGGCGGTCTGCCGCTGGTGCATTTCCAGTTCCTACTACCCACTGCACACCCGAATCGCCTGTTCTCGCGCATGTCCTCGCCGGAGGGGTTGGACCAGGCAGCGGCCGAGACCATGGGCAGCTCCTTTGTGCGCACCGGAGCGATTGCCGCCTTCGATTCGTTCGAGCACTTTGAGATGTACTCGGACGAGATTCTGGACCTGCTCGAGGACTTTGTCTCGCCCGCAATGGTCAATGCCAAGGTGCTGGAGGCCGTGGAGGCAGCCGACTCCATCTCGGACAGCCGTCACAGCACCTCCATCAACGTGTCGCTCTCGGATCCCGTTACTCGAGCCAATGCCGCCGAGGAGGCCAAGTCCACGGAGCCAATTCACATTGTGAGTGTGGCTGTGAGGGAGACCGGAGAGATGGACGACCTGCAGATGGCACAGATCTTTGGGAATTACTGCAAGGAGCACAACGAGGAGCTCTTCCAGCGCCGTATCCGCAGGATAACGTTCGCCTCATTGAAGAAGCGCCAGTTCCCCAAGTTCTTTACATACCGCGCCCGCGACAAGTTCGAGGAGGATCGCATTTATCGGCATCTGGAGCCGGCCTCTGCCTTCCATCTGGAGCTGAACCGCATGAAGACTTACGACCTGGAGGCACTGCCGACGGCCAACCAGAAGATGCATCTGTATTTGGGTAGGGCGAAGGTGTCGAAGGGGCAGGAGGTGACCGACTATCGTTTCTTCATCCGCTCGATCATCCGCCACTCGGACCTCATCACCAAGGAGGCATCCTTCGAGTACCTCCAAAACGAGGGCGAAAGGGTGCTGCTGGAGGCCATGGACGAGCTGGAGGTGGCCTTCTCCCATCCGCACGCCAAGCGCACCGACTGCAATCACATCTTTCTCAATTTTGTGCCCACCGTTATCATGGACCCGGCCAAGATTGAGGAGTCCGTCACCAAGATGATCATGCGCTACGGCCCCCGCCTGTGGAAGCTGCGCGTTCTTCAGGCTGAGCTGAAGATGGTCATCCGGCAGTCGCCGCAGTCGCCCACCCAAGCGGTGCGCCTGTGCATTGCCAACGATTCTGGGTACTTCCTGGACATCTCCATGTACACGGAGCAAACGGAGCCAGAGACGGGAATTGTAAGTGTCATCGAAATGATTATCCCTAATTGCAGATCGATACCTTTTGCATGCCGTTTCAGATCAAGTTCAAGGCCTACGGAGACAAGCAGGGCTCCCTGCATGGCCATCCCATTTCGACGCCCTACATGACGAAAGACTTTCTGCAGCAGAAGCGCTTCCAGGCGCAGTCGAACGGCACCACCTACGTGTACGATGTGCCCGACATGTTCCGCCAGATGACCGAGCGCCACTGGAAGGAGTTCTCAAACGCGCGGCCCTCTGTGGACATACGCATACCCGACAAGATACTGATTGAGTGCAAGGAGCTGGTTCTCGAGGGCGACACCCTCATCGAGATGCAGCGCCTGCCGGGCGAGAACAATGTAGGTCCCACTCGCAGCCCAAAAGACATTTTGCGACTTCTCTATTGACTAACCTCTGATATTGCAGTGTGGCATGGTGGCCTGGAGGATTGTTCTGGCCACGCCTGAGTACCCGAATGGGCGCGAGATCATTGTGATAGCCAATGATCTGACCTACCTGATTGGCTCCTTTGGCATCAAGGAGGATATTCTCTTTGCCAAAGCCTCGCAGCTTGCGCGCGAAAGGAAAGTGCCCAGGGTAAGCATCAAGAATCGATTTCCATGCTCCAACCATTCATCACTCAACAAAATCCCTCCCACAGATCTATATATCGGTAAACAGCGGTGCACGCATTGGACTTGCCGAGGAGGTGAAGGCAATGTTTAAGATCGCATGGGAGGATCCCGAGGAGCCGGACAAGGGCTTCAAGTATCTCTATCTGTCCACCGAGGACTATGCCCAGGTGGCCAATCTCAACTCGGTGCGAGCCATTCTCATTGAGGATGAGGGAGAGCAGCGCTACAAAATCACCGACATCATTGGGAAGGACGATGGCCTGGGCGTTGAAAATCTACGTTATGCTGGCTTGATTGCCGGCGAAACGTCGCAGGCGTACGAGGAGATTGTCACCATTGCTATGGTCACGTGCCGTACCATCGGCATCGGCTCGTATGTGGTGCGTCTGGGTCAGCGGGTCATTCAGATTGACAACTCGCACATAATTCTCACAGGCTATGCGGCCCTGAATAAGGTAAGTCCTTGTAGTCAGAATCTTGATGTGTGGATCTTCACATGTTTTCTTCCTGCAGCTGCTCGGTCGTAAGGTGTACGCCTCAAACAACCAACTGGGCGGCACACAGATCATGTTCAACAATGGCGTGACCCACAAGACTGAAGCCATCGACCTGGACGGCGTTTACACCATTCTCGATTGGCTCTCGTACATTCCCGCCTACATTGGCTGCGACCTGCCCATCGTTTTGCCGTGCGATCGCGTTGATCGGCCCGTCGATTTTATGCCCACCAAGTCGCCATACGATCCGCGCTGCATGCTGGCCGGTCGGGTGAATCCCACCAATGCCAATGAGTGGGAGAATGGCTTCTTTGATCGTGATTCGTGGAGCGAGATTATGGCCCCGTGGGCCAAGACAGTAGTCACGGGACGTGCTCGTCTGGGAGGTGTGCCTGTGGGCGTGATTGCCGTGGAGACGCGGACTGTGGAGGTGGAAATGCCCGCGGATCCAGCCAATCTGGATTCGGAGGCCAAGACGCTGCAGCAGGCAGGTCAGGTGTGGTATCCCGATTCCTCCTACAAGACGGCCCAAGCCATCAAGGACTTTGGCCACGAGGAGCTACCGCTGATTGTGTTCGCCAACTGGCGTGGCTTCTCCGGCGGCATGAAGGACATGTACGAGCAGATAGTCAAGTTTGGGGCCTACATCGTCGACGGACTGCGAGAGTACAAGAAGCCGGTGCTCATCTACCTGCCGCCCAATGCCGAGCTTCGTGGCGGAGCCTGGGCTGTGCTGGACTCGTTGATCAATCCGCGCTACATGGAAACCTATGCTGATCCTGAGGCCCGTGGTGGTGTCCTCGAGCCCGAGGGCATTGTGGAAATCAAATACAAAGAAAAGGACCTCATCAAGACGATAAATCGCCTGGATGCGACCACAATTGCTGTTAGTTTCATATACAATTATTGGCTGTTCTTCGACTAATCAATTTTTTCCATTTCGGATTCTATGCAGCTGAGGAAAGAACTCGAGGAGGCAACTGCTGCTGGGGATAAAACGCTGGCAGCACAGGTGGATGAGAAGATCAAGTCTCGTATGGCGATGCTGATGCATGTCTATCATACGGTGGCCGTGCACTTTGCCGATCTACACGACACTCCCGAACGCATGCTGGAGAAGGAGTGCATCAGCGAGATTGTGCCATGGCGCGACTCGAGACGTTGGCTCTACTGGCGCCTGCGTCGTCTCTTGCTGGAGGATGCCTACATCAAGAAGATACTGCGCGCACAGGACAATCTCTCTGTGGGACAGGCCAAGCAGATGCTCAGACGCTGGCTGGTCGAAGAGAAGGGTGCCACAGAGGTAAAATGATAACAACATCTGTTGATTTCCATTACCTTACCATCCCTTTCTTCCGTTTTTTTGTTGCAGGCATATCTGTGGGACAAGAATGAGGAAATGGTGGCCTGGTATGAAGAGCAAACGAATACAGAATCTATTGTCTCCCGCAATGTGAGTTCCGTGAGACGGGATGCAATCATTTCAACCATTTCGAAAATGCTCGAGGTAAGCACCGCTACAATCTGGTTAATATTACTTATTAATATTAAATGGACTTCTCTGGTTTTAATAGGACTGTCCGGACGTAGCGCTGGACGCTGTGGTTGGTCTCTGCCAAGGCCTGACGCCCGTCAATCGTGGGGTGGTCGTACGCACACTGGCGCAAATGCAGCTGAACGAGGAGAACTCTAGCAATACCCAGGGATGATTGTACGCTAGATTCTAAGTTCTTTTAAGCCTATCCCTACCCTACCGCTCTCGAAGTCAACGCAGTGGCTATGCCTGGATGCCTGGAAGAGGGTCTCATCCTTCATCCCGTTTGGAAGCCTAGCCTATTCCGTCTGGCAATTGTAAAATACTGGAGAAACTAGCATGATATGCATTTTGTTTAGTTGAATTTGTTTAAACGTAATTAGAATAAAAGTAGCATGTAGTATGTTAAAATGGAGGAGCCCTACATTAGAGTTGTGGGGCATGGGTTGGATTTTGCATAAATAGCCCCGATGAACTTGTAGTAACATGTACATATTTGTGTATGTATGGTATGTATATCTCTTGAATACAAAATACTTTCCACTAGTTGTTTAAGAACCAAGTCCTTTGTACACAGAGCTTTTTGAATTATACGAAATATTGAAAATACATAATACATATATGAGTATGGTACAAATAAGATTCAAGGTGTTCAAGATTATAATTTGGTTCCTCTTTTTCATCGCACACAGGATCTCGAGTCCACAGGATCGATAATGTACATAATTTCATTTATTTCGTAAATTAAAAATGAAATCTATCGCAGCACAGGTGAAACGTTTCTGAAATGCTTCGCTTGCAATGGGTTGGGTTTCGGTTCGGTTTGGGTTCAGTTCACGGGAGGGGTCTTCTTGGTGTTTCCGCCTTTGATTCTGCCGTTTTGATGATGATGAGATGAAGAGGAGAATTTCAGTGGGGCGAGCAGAGTAGCTGGAATCTCTTTCAGTTCAGTTTATCAAGCCATTCGGGCTCGGCGACACCTATCTTCTCTATGATGGAATTGACTTGATAGCAGAGCGACTGGATTTGACGATCCCATTGTGGCAGTAGTTCGCGATTCTCGAAATGAACAATACCAGAGATCTGGTCAATGTGCCCGTTCATACGACCCTCGGTGATCATCTGGGATGCGATTTTTTCCGCCTTGGCCGCAGGTATGTCCAGCAGAGCACCCAGTTCCTCAAATGTGATGTTGTTGTACAGCTTGCTGGCCGACAACAAGTTGTGCTCGAAGACAGCGCGATCCAGAATGGACGAGCCATCGGGTGTGGCAGCCTTCTGGTGCTCCTGCAGTAGGGCCTCAAACTCCTGCAGCTCCGAGCGTCGAATGATGCGCTCCAAGTACATCTTCTCTAGGATGCCGTAGGCGGGCAGGTGCTGGCAGCGCTCGTCCTTGAAAAGTGTGGCCAGCATGCGAGAACGCTGCTGTCCGGCCGAGGCCAGAACTGTGCAGATGAGCGCCTTCTTCAGCGCCGTCATGCGTTCGCCCTGGTCGACGATTTTGCGGTAGGAGAGCTCGTTGTAGCGTTGTGCAGCCTCAATAAATTTGCGCCGGTAGTCGAGCACGCGAGCATAGCAAACTTTATACAGCACCTGGCAAGAAAATTGCATGTGTCAACGAAGCGCCCAGCACTAGTAAACAGTTAATACGCACCTGGAGTTCCTCGGAGTTGGTCTCGGCCTGCAGCAGCGAGGCCCGATTAATGAACAGCTCGGCCTGCACGGAGTCATTGTCCTCCAGGTAGAGTCGGGCTATTTTCAAGTAGGTGCCCAATTTGCACTCGACGGAGTATTGCTTTTGGCCAGTCTCCAAGGGTATGCCGACTAGCACAGTGGCAGCATCGCGCCACTGCTGGTTCCGCTCGTAAATATTCGCCAAATGAAAGCGGATGCCGGCAACCTGTTCTTCAAACGAAATGACGCGTGGATGGACCTTTTCCAGTGTGAAGTGCGACAGCTGCTTAGAGAGATCATCTGGCAACTTGCTCAGCTCAACGCCCACATCATTCAGGATCTGTCGCGAGATAACCAGGCTGACGTGCTCATTGACAATTGCCTCAACAAAGAGTCTCAACGCATCGATCAATTCTTGTCCGGTGTTCGACAGGACGGTCTTCAGAAGCTGGCGGTACTTGTCCGCCTGGTCCTTGTGTGTGCCGGTGAAGTTGATCAGGCTCATCAACTGGTTGCGCAGGATAGCCGTCGAAATGCCCATTTTTGAGGATGCAGCTAGCTTATTTTATTAATATTAAGAATTCGCACTAACAACAACAACGCAACTAATCGATTGTCCGTAACACAGTCTTATCGATGATAAAAAGAACCATCGATACATCGATGTTTTTGCAGCTCTAGTAAACAGTGAAAAAACAGTTTATTAACAATATTAAATAGAAAATCCTAGAAAACGCGATTAGGTGTATGTGCTAAATTGTAAAGTTGACCTATGATTGCCCGTGCAATCAGTAAAAGGTGGCGAAAATCTAATATACGCACACACACACACACACAAAACATATCGTTTCGTAGAGTGGCTGGTCCGAGCAAATTGGAAGAGAAAATGTATCCAGATACAACCAATGGCAATTTTTGCGAGCAGATATGAACGAAAATTGCCCATTGATGACACCCAAGCGCTGAGCTGCGAGATAACCACAGTCGAGGAGGTCGACGGGCATACGGTGAGTGGGAACAGCAGTGCGAAAACTTTTCCTGGGGGCACCCAAGAAAAATCAATAATTGTTGATGATTTCATGAGAATGATAATATGTATGTATCTCGTAATGTATGTGCATGTGCATGTCTGTCTGTCTGTTTATATGACTGCAGGAGTACTTGCTGCGTGTGCAAAGGGGGCCAACCTCAGAAAACTCCTGGAACGTTCTGCGCCGCTACAATGACTTCGACAAGTTGGACAAGTGTCTACGCATCTCTGGCATTGAGCTGCCGTTGCCTCGCAAGCGCATCTTCGGTAATATGCGCCCGGAGTTTGTAGCTGAACGAAAGCAAGCACTGCAAGTATACATAAACGCTGTACTAATGAATCCCATATTGGCATCATCGTTGCCAGCGAAGCGCTTCGTTGACCCCGAGAGCTATTCGCAATCATTTCATGGTAACACTATATCCTATGCCACATTACCCATTTACATATACTAAACAGTTCCAATAACTCATTACAGACCATGCTGTGCAGAATGCAATGCTCTGCCTGCGCAACGATTCGGCGTGGGCCCTGGGTGCCACAATGGGTGCCATAGGCTGGCGTCTACGCAAGCACTACTTTAAGGTGACGCCTAAGCCGCCGGAGAAGGGCAGCAACAAGTTGGTGAAGAGCGGCTCGCAGACGCATCAGAGCAAGCACTTCGCCGCCGGCAGCAGCAGCAATGGCAGCGGTCATTCCATGGATGGTGGCTCGTATGACCCCAATGCCGAGATGGTGGCGGAATGGCTCGAGGCTGGACCGGACAAGTTTATCGAAGAGAAGGAGATGACCGGCATTCTGAAGAGCCTAATGGGCCTCCAGCATCAGCACATCGAGCCAGTTATCCTGGCCGGCCACACCGAAAGCGGATGTCTCGTCATCAGAAAGTATAACAGAAAAATGGGTTGGGTATACTGTAGAGCGTTTGGCTAATTGGCTTTTGCGTGCTTCTCTTTCAGATTCCACAAGCATGGCACCCTCAAGGATGTGCTGTGCATGGCCACGAACCCAAAGAACCCCTTCCTGAGCAAGTACGGCAATCCGAAGGGACGCACTGCACTCTCCATGAAGCAAGTGGCCACCTATGGCAGGCAGATCCTGGAGGCTCTCATATTTTTGCATTCCAAGGGCTATGCCTACGGTGGGTTGAATACTGACCGGTCTGGTCACGCAGTTCCTGATATAATAGTTTCCACTGCTGCAGGTCACCTACATTCCGGGAATATAGTAATTTTGGACGATTGTGTCAAGTTGTTGGACATTGAGAATCAACTGCTGGGCGTGCCGGCATTCTATCGGCCATTCTTCATGCAGCACAGCAAGATTCATACCATGGAGACTGTGGACGTGTACTGCTTCGGCCATGTCCTGTTCGAAATGACCATGGGCTATCCCCTTCAAGAGTCGGTGGTGCGACAAATCACGGAATGCCCCGAGGCGCTAAGTAAGTCATAAGTCCTGCTGTGCTTTCTTTATTTAAGCGATTTCCTTTGGCAGAATGTTTGTTGGAGAGCATTCTCTCCAAGGAGGCTTGCAAAACTGGCCTCCCAACCCTGGAGCAACTGATTGGTCACCGTTTTTTTGCACAGTACGCATCGACGGGTGAGGCAGCTGCTGCCGGTGGGGCTAACACCGAAAAGCCACACTTCAAATTGTCCTTAAACGCCAAAGAGCTGCTGAAGCAGGCAGCCATAAAAACGGAGAATCGGCTCCGCGACGAGCAAAAGTCGGTGAAGAACCAGAAGAGGATTGTGCGTGTGCAGGAGCTGATGAGTTCCGAGGAGGAGAAGCGCAAGTCCAAGCAGAAAGCAGTTAGTTATCAATATCTAGCAACTCACGTAGCTCCTTCCTCTCACAGCAATTTAACGAACACTTTTGATTTCTCTTTTTCGTTTATTGAAACATTTAACGCTTATATCTAGAAACTAGAGCACAAACAGTCCAAGCTAAAGCAGCAAGGTTCACTGCAAACGAACAACGGACGTTTGTCGCTTGCGGCTGCAACTGCAGCGACCGCTTCATCCAGCACCCTGGCAGCTAGTGGGCTAAACGCGGCAGACTCCTTCAACCGCTCCGACAGCACTCCTGAAGAACCCACTCTGGCCGCCCTCAAATGTAGTTATCTCTGTTGTCCACACCTTAAAATTGATAGTTAGCTTGCTGTGTCTCCTCATACTTACCCCACTGATATGTGGTTTCGTATTCCTCGCAGCCCCACCGCTTACACCGGCCCCACCATTTGGCTCGATCTACCAGCGGGATCCACCTGCAGGCAGTGCATCCACATCCGCGTCTGGATCGGTGGAAAGGCAGTCCTCCACCCCCAATATGCTGGCCGAGGATCCTGAAGCCCCTGAAGGCGAGGGCGACGGACTGACGCGTTCCGCACTGCTCGAGTCTATTTGCAAATTCAATCGCGGCTCCCTGCGCAAAGTGCGATCAAACGACTAGGCAGGAAACGATGAGCAGGAAAATCGAGATTTATAAATGTTAAAATTTGGACCAAATGTGGCGTTATGAAATAACCGTGCCATCAAAAATCAATATATAAAACCCAATTGAATTTCGAAAGCTACATTTTTAGATGCATATTGAGAAACACGACACGCACGCCGGGCGGCAGACGAAAGAAATGAGAAAAAATAGATCGATCTATCGCTACGCTTAGCATACCCAGAGAAACAATCCAGCCTAACACTACTTGTCTTTACGAAACCCACTGATTATACATATATTATAATTACAGCCTACAATATGTGTCCACTATTTATAGCATACTCGTACAAATAATCAGCTAAAGGGATCTATTTATACTACATGTATGTTACGAGAAGACGTTATGAGTCACAACAACACATTGCGAAACGGTCTAACGAATCCCAAACCAGGCTCCGGATCGCAACTAAAGCTTTACTTAAATGTGTCCACTACACGACTGAAACTGACTTTGGTACGATATGAATATCAAAAGAAACAAAAAACCAAAAACAGAAAACTGAAATCTGAAGAACAAACGACATACAGAGAAATGTAAAACTTTCCAATATTTACATACATATACATAAGTCTGCACCAAAATTTGCACCACGGACGATGCTATCTAAACAAATATCTTTTATAAAAACCCAACCCAAGGGTTACTTTCGTACAATACATTGATGTTAGATGTCTAAGAACTTGTTCCTCAGTGTTGTGCTCTCTCTATCTCCCCACCAACAACACACATGCGTTTTTATGGGATCGCCAATTTTTAGTAGAAATTTTGTATCTAACTTGAGTTTTGTTTTCGAAGAGCCACGAGTGTTTCAAAAACACTCCACTGTTCGTTTAAGTCTCTATACATACCCACGGAGTCATGGACTCGCAAACGAAGGACAAGCAAAGGTGGCCCAGAGTCTTGCATGGTTATTGTTTTCCCCCGTCTTTTTATAGATAATTTACTATGTGTGTAATTATCCATACTATATATTATCAGAATAATGTGTACGTATTTGAATATGTGTGTGTATATATGTGTACTCGATGTTTTGTAGTATGGCCCATAGCATAACATACCATAACGTACCCAACGGATTCACCATTAGAGCACAAAAACTTAAGATAAACTTGTCACTTGATGCATCATACCACATGTATGGTATGTATGCATGTATATGTCTGTTATTGTCTACTCCTACTGACTGTGTATACATTATGTTTAACGATACTTAAAGACAAACGAAACGCGATACCTAACACCCAACACCTAACCGCGATCCACTTCCCCCAAACAGTTACTGCAAACCGAATAAAGTGTAAAGTAATTTGCCGTTGTAATCGGATCTAAACTCGAGATTTACATATAAGGAAAGAATTTCCCAAAAGGGAGAGGGCGGGACGAGTGATATGCCTAGCGCGTAACAGTCTTCGGTATGATGTGCGTAACTCTCAAGGAATGCTCTGGAAGAAACACCACTTGGACAAAGATTTAGTTTAATATTATTCCAAATAATAATATGCTAGAATCTTAGCAGGCTATCGCATCTCTGGAATTCTGTCTCCTCTGAACTTGTAAATTTATTTGTAGTGACAACAAGGGCTTTCCATTTAATATTATTTGGTATTAAAAAAGAAAAATTTAAACAACATTCGGATAATGTCCGAGTCTCCAGAAGCGCAATCCCTCAAAGAGGACGGGCATGCGGATACAGCTGCCAAGGAGGAGGATAAAGAGGCTACGCCTCCCGCTGCTGCTACTGTTGCTGCCAAGGAGAAAACTGGCAAGGGAAAAGACAAAGACAAGGAGGGCAAGGACAAAGCGGCCAAGGGAGAGGTAAGTTCGGCTGCCAAGTGGCACAAATTCACATCGGATTGGGGGCATATTTTTTGTGTGCCATTTATTGATTCAACAATGACTCGGGGCATTGCCACGGCGACATGCGGCACTTTATCAAGCTGGGAATGGCTAATCATTTGTGGTTTTATGGTTAACCGCGACGTACTCGACTCGATTCCAATATTGACGGCACGCCAAGCGCTCAACGGAAATGGCCGACTCTGCAGCCAAAAACTGGTCGGGTCTGGTTACCCTCTGCCTGGGCCAGGAGCGAGAGAAGGTACACGATTGATTTTGCCATTATGATTCCATGGGTATTTGATGTCTTTTTAATGAATTGATGCTTGTAACGAAATGTGAACATGGGAATGCATTTATTGGACGAAATTTGGCACAGTCACGCATATCCAGGCCAGAGCAGGCGTCACTTTTGGGATAGGGATTTGGATTTGTATGTGCTGTGTTGTGCAGTGCCGTGGTTTTAGGTTTGGGGACATGTCTAATCTAGAACTAATGTGTTGTTTCATTCCGCCACCATGCAGAGACAGACTGGCAGCCAGCGCCAATCTCACAGTGGGGGCGTGACCAGCCCCTTGGGCATGGGACAGCAGCCGAAAGTAAGTAATCGTAGATCCACTGAATCTGGTCCTCCTCTTAACTCTCCTCTCCGGTAACAGCCCACAATGCGCTATATGCCCACCTATCGCCTGGAACCCAAAAATCCACTGAACAAGGAGCAGGTGGAAATAATCATGAAGGCGGTGATGAACAAGCACTACAACGATGAGTACACGTTCCACCCTAAGCACTCGCTGCACATGGCAGCTCAAATCAGCGAGGAGATCAAAAATCGCATCAAATTAATGAACTATGACAGGTAAGCTCTACAGCCTTCCCAATCTTATTTATAATACTGAGCGTCTGCTTTATCAAAGATATCGCTACATAGTGCTCGTCACTGTGGGCGAGAGTCTGATGCAGGGCCTCTATTCGATGGTCAACTTCTTGTGGGATGCTGAAAAGGATGGATTCGTCACATATAAGGTTGAGCAACCCACATATTATGCTCTCTGCACAACATTTTATATATATTACGATTGAACTTGAATTGTTATTATTAAATCAAACATTAGTGTCATATCCATGGCATGGATTATTACCTTCCTTCATTGGATTGGATCGTTGCACTGCATCACGACGGCACTAGAACTCACTTTTTGTTTGCACAGAAATTCGTTGAACACATATTGATAGATAGTTGACGATTATATTTTATTTAAGTATCAGTATAATAGACAATTGTTTTGTAATATTTTCTGAAGCATAGCATGGGAATATTTGTATAGTTATTTTAATCCTTTTGGTATATAATGCTTTCAACTTGAATTATTTGTTGTTTACTCGGTACAACTATCTCTGAGGGTACACATTTCAAGGTTTATTTTTGAATTTTTCAATAAATACGTATCTCTCTCTCCCTCTCTCTATTGATATTTAATTAGACAACGCACGCATACACATACACATGCACTTTTGTTTCTGGGGAAGCTATTAACTTTAGCTATGGATATACATATATTTCAAAATATGCAGCATAGATTTTTGTTCCGGCTCTTGGAATGGACACTTGAACACACAGAAACGCCAAATCATATATAAATGTATTTTTGTAGAATTAATAATCGAAACACCACACCACTTTGTTGTTGAGAGCAACCACAAGAGAACCAATGTAACAATCGCCAAACCCATTCAAACAGCGAAAACACTTTTGAGCGAATGCTACACGACGTTCTCTATTCGGATGGAAGGTGATCTGAACGGGATCGGATCGGATGAAGAACATGGGTCCAGGTCCAGAAAGGACCGAATACAGCACAAGATTCACCACACCACACCTCACACCTCACTCACCACAGCAGGCGCACCAAGCCAAGCAAGCCTCAAGGAGATTCTAGTGAAGCTGAAGGCAACAGGCCACCAATTCAAATGTAACAATTAAAATCATTGTTTTATTTAATACACTTTTTGCACAGGGAGAAACTGCTGCACTGCACCAAGCACAAAGGCAACGACATCAACTCGGAGGACACTTTACCATCTTCTTCTTCAGAAACAAAATCTGCCGTTGGTCGAATCTAATATCAACAAATCAGACTGATAATGAGGGTGCACATTTGTTGTCGCACTTGTTGTTTTAAGTTCTTAAACTATAACTTTCCATAGCCGGATATTGAAAATAACACAACTCGAAATGGGGATGAATTTTATAAAAAAAACACAAAACTTTCTTTTTTTTTGGTTTGCACTCGTTGAACATTTTCTGAATAGTTTCGCAGGGGATAGATACCTTGAGTTTCATACGGAAATTGGACACTTTATGAAATATAATTACAAATTAAAAAAAAGTTAACTCTTTAGTTTAAGATAGCAATTTAAAAACTTTTCCTGTGGTTTTTCTTCCACAAACTTTTTAAGCACAACTGTACACTGTCACTAACACATTGAGAGAGCTCTTAAGAAACCATAAGGGATCAGGTCGCCTCTCAAAGAACTGCAAAAAGAACAATAATTGATTAATTAATTGGGTTTATGGGGTGTTACTGGTACTGGTACTGGTACTATTACTATTACTGGTAATGAGGGATGTCTTTTCGATTCTCCGGCTCTTATCTACGGGGGAGGTGCATGGGTGTATAACATATGTCTATGGCCAAGTGAATGTGTTTTATGTGTATGGATGTGTGATGTCTAGGATGTCTGTCTGTCTTGATGTCCACCACATACACGACCCTTGCGTGTATGTCGTCTCCCCCATTTAGGGGACTCTTAGATACATTAGGTTCTCTACTTAATAGTTACGTTGTGATGGGGAGTTTACTCCATGGAGCCCTGTGGATAGCTTTTACCTCGCAGTTTGTCCAGCACTTTCGCTCTGCTCCCCCATCCCTGCCCCAACCAACTTAGGCCGTGCCACCGCGCACCACAACAATAACGAGATGATCCTCCTTGAGGGCTTCCTCGGTGAGGCTGACACATGTGCGCTTCAGCAACTCTGTGGAAAAGTCACAGGGGGGGAAGGCATACAGAACTCCCGTCGCCTCGGTCTCCTTGTTCAGCAAGGAGATCACACCAGCCGCCTCCTTTTGCTTTAGGTAGGACACAAGGTTGCGCAGTGGACGCGTCTGAACGCTTGTGTCATCGCAATTGGTGTCCACCGTGGATCCGGCCAGACCCATGAAGATGGCATGTGCCGATGAGGAGGCGATGCGCTTCTGCACATCATCCAGCTTGGGAGGATCTAAGCGCAGCCTCTGGGTGATGCGGAGGTTGTGCTTGCCCTCCTCGTCTCGCATCAGAGACTCCACGATGTCCGTGTCGCCGTCTGTCAAATGGAACTTTGCCGGGAAGAGAGAGCTCTTTAGAATTAGCGCTCCTGTCCATACCGTGCCGCACTTGCGAGCCACTTCTGGTACTGTCGTGGCCGTGCCAAGTGCATCGTTACGTCTCGTCGATGTGTCCGAGTCGGAGCCTGGAGAACGGCCACGCTTAAGGGGCGAACGGGAACGGGAACGCTCAACGCCAGGTTCGCGTGAAATGGAACGGGCTGTCCGATCATACGACTCGCCCGGTGGACGACGCCACTCATCATCCGCTCCGCCTGGAGGCGGCACCGACGAGGGCCCTCCGCCCAGCGAGCCAGGGTGTGGAGGCCTGTGCACATCATTGTGATAGTGATACATGCCACGACCACGTCCGCGATAGCCGCCACGACCGCGGTAACCGCCACGCGGCGGATAGGGGGAATAACCACCCCGAGGAGCATATACAGGTGCCTCCTCATAGTAAGGATCGTACTCCGGGCGGCGATACTCTAGAGCACTCTCATCGTACGGCGGCTTGGAGGTCTTGAACGGTGCCGCTGGTGTGGCTCCTGGAAGCTCTGCGAAGTCAGTGCGCAGCCTGCGCTCCGGACCGCCCAGAGGGAAGCCGCGCATCTCCTTGACCGCTGCAGTGGCTGCTTCCACTGTCTCATACTGTATGTACGCGTAGGGTTCTCCCTTTTGATATTCGATCTTTTTGATAGCGCCGAAACGGTCGAACTCGCGCTCAATCTGTGTCACCGACGTCCAGGCACCCAGTCCGCCGATCCACATGCGAGTAGCTGGTGTCACTTTGCCGTAGCCAATCTTGCACTGGAACTTGCCAATGTACTGTCCGGATAGTTCGATTTTGGCCCGATGAGCCATGTCAAGATTCTGGTAGCGCACAAAGGCGAACGCGTTGCCGGTTCCAGGCGGTGGCCGCTTTATATCGATGTCGTCGACCACACCGTACTTGCTGAAGATGCGACGCAGCTCATCGTCGGCTATGGTCACTTCCAGATTGCCGGCGAAGAGGGTGCGCGTCGAGAGCGGATCATCCTCAGGCTGCACGTGATGCAGATAGTTGGGAAACTTATCCTTTTTGCTCTCTGGTTTCTCATACGGAACATGCGGTGCCCGCGGGGCCATGGGCCTCATGGGAACATACTGATGAGGCGGTGGATGGCCGTGCAGATGATGCGGATGGCCACGGTGCATCGGAGGACCGCGCGGAGGATGAGGATACTCGTGGTGCATGGGACGGTACTCGCGCGGATGCACCGCATGAGGATGCATATGTGGTGGCCCGTAACGATCGTACGGATCAATCGGAGGACGGCGGTGGTCGATTGGCCCACCTGGCTCCATGGGCGACCGCGAGTAGTGATAACGCTCGTAGTCCGGCGGCGAGATAGAGTGTCCGCGCGGTCTGTAAATTAATCAGATATTGATAATTGTTCACGGGAAACAGCTAGAGCTAAGAGCTAGCGACTCATACCTATATTCGGGCCGGGGAATCGATTTGTAAACCGGCTCTACCATCACCATTTTGTCGTAAATGATCAGGCGTGGCTTGTGATGCTTCGCCTCACGAGCATCGTCGGGTGTGCGGAAGCACACGTATGCCACCCGCTCATCGAGATCATGTGCAATGCGCACACTAAAATCGCCGAATTTCTTGTACTCGCGGTACAGTGTCTCCTCGACGAACTCGTCCGGTGCCTTTGGGGGCAGTGCACTCACACACAAAACCTTGTATGCGGAAGGGCGCTCTGCTGACGGCGGCCCACGCATGTACTGCTCCCGATGAGGCGATCCATAGCGGCCACGTGGGCTCGGCGACCGATCCAAGCGGCGTCGCATGCGCTCCGGAGAGATGCGTTCGGGCGAGTCGCCCGGCACTCCGCTGCCGTTGTCGTAGCCACGTCCCATACTCCTAGAGTTTCTGGGAGGCAGGTTGCCTCTGCCTGGTCCAGGGCCTGGGGAGCGCGAGGCGCTACGTTTCATGTTGTGGATTTTGACTGTGATGCGATCGAGTTCAGCTCCGGGTCCGTCTCTATGACTACTCATGAGCGGGTGCGTTATGCTCTTGCAATTATGGGGCTGCCTGAGAACTTTTTCTCGTGACTAAGTCTGCAAGATGGTCAAGAACAGAGCGAATTGAAAACTAAGTAATGAATTGCCACCTTATTAACCAATTAGTTGCATCGTAAAAGTGCCCCTTTGTGAAAAAAAAGAAAGACGAGACCGACAGACGGAAAAAAAAATGGCGGCGCCAGCGACAAAGAAAAAACTCTTCACATAATTGCCGTGAGCGCAACGAAAAGAAATTCGGTTTTCCCACTAGGTCCTTACCACTATTTTCACTTTCAACTTAAAATATATATTAACTTTAAGCAATTCGTCGGTAGAACAAACCACTAAAAGTTAATTTCCTGTTTTCTGCGGCGTTGCAAATTCTGTATGCTATAGGGATGGACTGAGTGGCGATGAGTGGCGCCAATGCAAGTAGTGTGTCCGCGGAATAATCGACAAAATATATCCATAACATATTCCTCATTTTTGATGTTATATTTGATATTACTAGATTCCAAAGACTTGTAACACTGAAACACTAATTTATTCCGATTGAAGAGTCTATTTGGCTTAACATAAATACTTTTTTTTACCAGAGTGTATCCTTTATGACCTTACATTTTACAAATTTGCATTTGCATTTTTCATATAATGGTCGTGGAGATGCTGTATGCGATAGGGATGTACCTGTGGCGATGA